GGTTGTTGTGGGTCCTTTGGGCTCTTTGGCCATGTTCTGAAGGTTGTTCTGTCCTCTGTGCTGTCCTCTGGAGATGCCGGCCACAGAGACTGGCAAAACGTTAGGAAGAACAACCTTCAGAACACGGCCAAAGAGCCCGAAAGACCCACAACAACCAGTGTACATCTCCTTTGTTGCATTTTAATGCAGAGTTCAGGGGACTGGGTGTAAGTTCACAATCCATCAAATCCAGCCATTTGGAAATTTATGCCCACATTCCATGGTATATGGTTAGCAGTGGCATTCCAGCCACACTGTTCTGCTTCCATACTTCTCCCTCTTTGGACACAAGCCATAGAAATAAACTCATGCTTTGTGTGAGATACAGAGATAGCTGGATCCAGAGGGGCAGAAGGAGGGCTCTGAGGACAGGAGAACTAGCTTCACAAAGTGCCCTCTTCTGGTCACCCCACCCCCAAGCCTGACTCAAAGAAGTCTTTCTGAAACTGCAGTCTAGGCCTTGGATGGCTCTGCAAATCCATACAGAAGCCATTTTGGAAAGCAGCTGTTTTATGTACATTTTCCCATAGCCATTCGTTTTTGTACACATTTCCCCTAAGACAGGCATGTTACAACCCGAAGACAGCATTGCAACATTCAGAGAAGTTTACAATCCAAACCAGAACATCATTTCTGATCTTTGTGTTAGTCCAATAAGAGCAGTGCATTTTAAAATGCTGACTGAAAAACACTCCCCCCCTCCATATTCCTGAGGCTGTTTTCTTCATAAGAACACCGTGGGTACTTGGCTGGGTCCCTTTGGCCATGGAAAGCTCCCAGGCTGGTGGTTTGCTGTGAAACCCTCAGGCGCCATCCCTCAAGGAGCATAAAGCCAGATGAATCTCCAGGTTGTACCTTTGAGGGAAGCCTCCAGCTGCCAAAAAAACAGAAGGCCTTCTTGTGGCTTAGGGCTCTTTTGGGAGTGTTTCTGGGCTGATCAAAGTCTACCGTGCTGATTAGAAAGAAGACAGAAAGGAGTGCTGATCCATCATCCTTGTTGTGACCTTGCACACAAGCAGGGTGGGGGAAGAGTGGCAGTTCTCTGTAATGAAAGCCACAACAGATGTCTTGGCTAAGTATGAAGGAAGAGATTCTTCTCCTTGTCCTGACTGCTGTGATTTGAACTAACCAGCTGGGTCAGCCTGTCTCCCAGCCCTCCAGTGCCATTTGCACCTTCCACTGGCGCCCTCCAAAATACAAACACGACATGTTCCAGTGTGTCAGCCAGAGCATTCCTTGGGTAAGGGTATGTCCTTGATGGGCTATTTAAAGGCGTGTGTGCTGTCCTTTATTTTGCCACATGTTTTGGCCGGAAAAGGCCTGACCTCTGCATCCAGCTCACAGAAAGCAGGAGGAGCCGGCTTCCCTGAAAAGCACACACTCCTTCCTCTCCTGTTCTTCACCATTTCCTGTCATTCTGTCACTCTTGAGGGAACAGCCAAGAAGTGCAGGCCCTGTGCACATTGTCCACAAAAAAATGGAGCCAAAGGTGAGCAGTATTATCACACACCTGGTGGTACTGGTATCTTGGTTAGCCACCTGCAATCTTCTGGACTTCACAAAGGGTTGTCCAAATTTTGTCAAAGGTTGCACACAATAGTTACTTCTCCCGTGAGGATTTTTATTTTGTCCTTCAGCCTGCCACATTGCAGTTGGTATGCTTGTTTTGTGCCCTTAAAATGGCACAAGTGAAACATACAATGAAGGACCTTACAATTTTGTCAACTGTTGGTCCCTTCACTTGTTGCTCTCTCTGCCACAATCATTTTTACCTCTAGTTACCAGAAAAGAGAAGATAAACCTAGTCCCCTTATCTGTGTAAAAAAACAAAAAGTTGCTGCCTTGGGCCATTTCAGAAGTAACAACTGTAAATGATCTATATGAGGAATGGTGATCTACTTAAGATATCCTACTACTGCTTGATATGGAGGAAAATGTAGATGTGTTATTTTTACTCTTCTGCTTCTTGTTTTCTTCTTCTTAAAGAATTTATCCTGTTCAAGGTCTGCAAAACTATCTGTAAACGTATATGCATTATAAGTCAACTACATTGACTTATAATACTGTAAAGTCATAGAGAGTGTCATAAAATGATTAAGCCGGTAAATTTAAGAGAAAATGTCCTCAAAATGTTTTATAGATGGCACTATACCCCTGTAAGGCTGGCAAAAATGTCAGAGGGTAATAGCAATGTTTGTTGGAAGTGTTAAAAAAAGCAGGAACTTATTATCATATGTGGTGGACATGTGAAAAAGTCAAGAGATATTGGACACAGGTGTGGGAAATAAAAAATCATACAACAGAATTAAATTTACTGAAATGGCACTATTAAATATTATGTCAGAAATTACTGATAAGAAAATTAAATATTGTCTAATGTATTTACTCGTAGTTGCTAGGTTACTCTGGGTCCAAAAGTGAAGAAATACTGTACCTGTGATGGAGGAGTTCCTAAAGATGTTGGATATTGCAGAATTAGATACACTTTCAGATGCACTACGAGAACAACCAAGAGACTATGTAAAACAAAGTTGGAACTTAATCTATGTTTGGGCTCAGGAAAACACAAAAGTGTAGGGCAAAATGTTTCATGCTTATTACTTTTTTCAAGACTCACTGGAAACCTGGGAAATCTGGGATCCAAATGAGGTTTGAATCTTTGTCCTCTGAAGGGGGGAGAGGTGGGTTTATTTTGGCTTATTTTTTTCTCTTTATTTCACACTTTGTTGTAGTTTGAATGATAGATGCTTTGTATTTATATGTTTAAATAAAATAAAACTACTCAGGGAAAAAATAATACTGCAAAGTCGATGCAGCCATATTAAAACTATATGTACACAATATTGAATTGTCTGTATTGTGCTTCGGACATCTACTCTCTTTGGCCACAATCTTACTCCATTCCAATCAAAGGGAGGTTTAACACTGCTTTCAACAGGAACAGAATTGCCCCCTTTGCTTCTCATGCCCCCATAATGATCCTAATAGGTAGGACACAATTTATCAACAGTTGGGCCAATTTCATTTGAAACTCTTTGGGTATGGAACATATGCGTGAATGAAAGAGCAGTACAAACAGCTGAGGGCATATTGGGGTGGGCAGGCCTGGTTACAAATGCCCCATAATAACAAATGGACACCGTGAATTAAACCCTATGTGGGCTGGGCAGCAACTTCAGCTATGAAATAAATATGATTTTGGTGTCACTTACGCGTTGGCAGTCCTTGTTCTAGCCAGTCATGAGATCAATGCTGTACATGCCACTAGCAGGGAATCCAAGTAATGGGTTGTCATTGGGAGCAACAGCCTCATCCTTGAAACTGGTGCAGAAATGTCCCACATACTATGACTGGCCGCTCACCCTACAGGCATAAGGTCACTCCTGTATCCTTTCAATACCTTGTGTTATTATTTTTGTCACTCTCAGACTGCATGGCCATTCTGAGCTTGGATCTGCAGTACAGCACACCTGCAGGCATTTTGGAAGGCCCTTGGGGGAAGCCTGCTTCAGTAGCCTCCACAGGAGCAGCTTGCAAACTGAGCAAGGGGAATCGCTCCCCAAAATCTGGGAGGTGTCCACTGGTTTTCTGTAGCTCCCAGATCTTTTGTAGAGTTATGAAAGGTAATTCTGCACACTTTACCAAGTAATACACCTTCTGGTAAGAGAAAAACACCATGGTTCTCCAGAAGTTTTACTTAAGAGAAGTGTGTAACTTTGTTCCAGTTTGCCAGCTACTTAGCTGAAGCCCGTAAGCTATAGGGAAAAATAACAGGGATTGGAAGTTTACTTTTAACTCTACCTAATTGCACAGTTGGTTTCAAGCACCAAAGCAGTTCATTACTCTTTCAGTTACTCTTGTTAAAAAAAACAGCTCTTCACTTACACATGCCTCCAAAGTACTGTAACTGAAGCAATTACTTTTCAAAATATTTTAATGCAACAACATGAGGCACAGCAGGAACCAACAATTAAACTCTGTTATATTCATTGTCCTGCATTTAATAAGCCCCGGGGGCCATAATCCTATCATCATAGGCATCCTTCAGTCTCGAAAGACTATGGTAACGTGCTCTGTATGGAGGAACAGCGTCTAGCGTGGCTGAGAAGGCCAAATCGAGAGTGACAATCCCTTCCACACTGAAGACAAATACACTCTGTCCCCTGTCCAGCTCCCTGATTTTGCTGCTTTCGGGACTGCCTCTTTGCCTCAGCCTGCTGGACAAGGGTCTCTTCAAATTGGGAGAAGCTGTGATGCACCACCTGCCTCCGGGCTGAACGCTCAGATGTCAGGGTTTCCAATCTGTTGAGATCGATTTCCAAAGCCTTCAGCTCCCGCTTGCAGATATCCTTGTATTGCAGCCGTGGTCTCCCTCTGGGGCGATTTCCCTGCACTAATTCTCCATACAGGAGATCCTTTGGAATCCGACCATCAGCCATTCTCACAACATGCCTAGTGCAAAGATGTGAAGTTATCTCTTGTTAAGAATTACAATTTCTCTGTTAGTGGGGAAAGAAATTACTCACATGTAACCCATCATGTCTTCAGGCTTCCAAACTCTGAGGTAATTCACCTTAACTAAATTTTAAACTACAAAATGGTAATGGAAAGCTACTTTATGGGTCATTAAGAACAAACATCAAACATTTTCTTCTTAGCCCTTCTATTTGTCTGTCTGTTTGTATAATTTCTAGGCTTCTTTTCTTCTAGTGAGGGACTCAAGTTGGCTCACAATGGAAATCCACCCAATAATGAGCCAAGTCCTTAAGTTTTAACACTGCTCGGATCACCAGACATTCACAAGAGACAAATGGAGTAGTTAAGCCATCTGGTGGTGAAATTATGAATCTGCAGCTGCATAAGGCATGAAGAAGACAGGGAGACGTTACTACTAGCTGCAGCTTGGGAGGCATACATCTCTATACAGCCTAAGTAAAATTCAGAAAAGCACCCTTCAACTGTTTCAGTGACCCTGCTAAGCAGAGGACCAGTGCAGTTTATTTCTCACAATTCATTCATTACAAAACAGCAATATCCCAGTAGGGAAAAGGCCACACAAGAATCGCAATAACAAGCTGGTCCATGGGTGCTCACATCAGATGAATTCAGCAGTTTCACAGAATAGAGCGTTTTAGATGTTTGTCAGAGAGACTGAGTGTCAAGCACTCCATGCTGAAGTCAGAGTCAGAATAGATCAAGTTATTAGCTTAGGTATCAGTATACTAGGATGGTCTTACTTTTCTTAAAATTCACACAAAAACAGCATGGCAGCTCTTCTGGACCTCCTCTTGATCCGCATCTCAAGAAAACAAAGTCCACTTGGCGTGTACTGGGATGTAAACATGAGAAGCTCTGATGTCATGGGGTCAGCTAGAACATAATGCTATTCACTTCTTTTGTCCCTAGGCTTGCATAATATGTTATATAGCTAAGAGCAGCTCCATTCATTTTTCAGGAGCTATACCTGAAACAGCCCCTCTACAGCTAAATTTTTAAACATTCTAAGCTGCATTATGAGCCACAAAGAGGAGTGTTAGTACATCTAAGTGTTCCACGTAGTCTTGATTCCTTGGCTCAGTGGATATATGGTTGTTGTTTTTTTTAATGCTGTTGCCAAAACCCTTATTGGATTATTCTAGGCATATGGATGCAGAAAATATAAGTGTATTCTTTTGACCAGTGGCACAGAGAAAGCACTTCACACTGTGAAGCCTGATGAACTTTCATTTTGGATTTTCTTGTTTATACTAAGCAACAATGTATGACTGTTATTCTCCTCAATATTCTGAGAATGGGTATCATTAGTTTTTAGTAGTGAAACATTTCAGAAGTGTTTGTATGTCTCAGATTTACATCCTGCATTTCCATCACTGAGCTCAAGGTGGCATACATGGCTCTCCTCCTCCACCTGTATCTTCACAACGTATCTGAGAAGTGGGTTAGGGCACATGACTGGCCTACAGTAACCCAGTGATTTCCATAGCTTGGTAGAGCATTGAATGGGGATCTCTCACATTGTCATCCAACACTCTAACAGATACACCACACTATCTTATAACTCATAGGTCCTGGGAAGGACCTCAGACTGTATCTCTTTTCCACTTCCACTTTTATCTTTTCTTCTTTTGAAGGAAAGCTTAGGAAAATAAATAAAAGGCACATGTTTGTGTTGCCCAATTTTGTGTGAACCACGCCTCAGCGCTAGGCCTTTTACTTCCTCCACAACCCCAGGAATACGTTGAGGTCCTGTGTTCTCACCCAGAGAGGTAGCTGAACACCACATACTTAAAAATTAAAGCTATCAGGAACATTCATGGCTTTGTAATTTGGCTTACACTTCAAGTAGTTCATCTTAGGTATCAAAGCAGCATTATATCTTAAATACAATATGATTCTACTTATAGCTAGCAAATGCTGCCATGCATTTGTCTAGTTCATTAAACCTACTATATTACAAGAGGGGAAAGGCTGGGTTTAGCAACCTGGGAGCTAAACACTGGGTATTAAGTGGCTAACACTGAACCACTTTCCCTGGCTGACATAGGGCCAAAGAGAGAATGTCTCTTTAATGAAAGCAAAACAGGATATATACTGGCTTTTTGCAATGACTCCTGCTGCTTGTTCTGGAATGAACACATCAGCCTCCTATCTCTTTATTGCACTGCATGAATCTTGCAGGAACTTTTGGTCTGAGAACATCTCTATCCAACATGCCCAAAGGTGCAGAATCTAATCCTATATTTTCGTGAGAGATCTATGGAGGAATCTTATCAGTACTGTTAGACCTAGAAAAACACAATGGCAAAAGGAACCCACCATCAGTAGCTTTGTTCACATATTCCTTCACATCATTTAAATAAATATGCATCTGCTTTTGCCACTCACTGCCAACTCAGTGGTCTCCTGGCACCACTCCCCACCTCTTCCTTCAATGCAGGACATGACAAGCCACCACAGAAGAAATGGAAAGGGCGGGGAAGTGGAAAGGGAGCTAATTCTGGAAAATGAGCATCTCTGTGTGATTATGTCTGGTGAGCTGGAAAGGGCCAAACAGGTAAGCTCCATCCAGGTGGCCCTTGGGCAGGCACCGTCGCCAGGTAGCTGGAAGGCACATAGCCCCTCTGTCCATTCACTTCCACCAGACTCCATTCTTTGCTCCCCTTCTTATCATGAGGCTCCAACACAGTCACTGGCTGGCCCATCTGCACGCTCACTTCATGGCTGCTTCTAGCTGTGAATGCATAAGCAGCGACGACCTAAGGAAAAGCAGAGGGGGTGCATTTGTAATACTGCATTGGCACAGAAAGGAAGAAGGAAGCAGCAGGGGCAGCTCAGTCCAGGCCAGGCCCAAGGTAAAAGGCAAAATGGCATTCTCTCCCTACAGAAAGCAACTGTGTGGGCCAGTAGATTAACTTTCCGTACCACAGCAGAAGACAGGCAGCTGATTGAAGCAGGTGAGGGCAGGCTGCGCAAAGCACACAGGCCCATCTTCCAGTACATTTACGGGGCTCAAGATGAATGGCAGAGGCTGTCACCGTCAACCTGCTTTGGCCAGCTGAGACAGCCGCCTCACTCTGCCAAATTGCAGAGCTGGCCCTGGTCTAACCACAGAAGCAAAGGGGCACCTGGGACGCCTCTGGCAGGTACATTTGCTGCAGTTTGTGTCTGTCAGAAGCAGCCTGGCTTTACTGCAACAGACATTAATCTTGAAGAGAACACTGTCAGGGCCTGCACTTTTGCAGGAAGTGTGTATGACAGGGTTGCACCCTCTGCATTGAAGGGAATATGAGCAACAGACTCCTAAATGCCATCATCCAACCCAAGCACAGACATGACAGCAGGAAGAAAGGGGAACGTGGCACAGAGCAAGAACAACAGAAAGAAAATAGTCTTCCAGCCAATTTTTGATCATGTGCTACTGTAATGTTAGCCAGAGAGCAAGAGAAAGAGTTTGGTTAACAACACGCTATTGCTCTGCTGCTAGCATTCAATGTGGAATAAGAGGGGCAGTTGTGGTAGAGCAGCAAAAATACACCCACCAAACCTGAATCTGAGTGCAGATTGTAAAGAAGATCTTGCTTTGGCTTGTGGACAATAAAATAATTTCACACCTTCATCACACCACCACTGAATTTGGTATCAGGCATCAAACTGAGCATTTCCATTTTGAATATTATTCTTTTCCAGACAAGTGATTAATTCTTAAGGCTGGCAGAGTGAGTGTTCAAACCATCAAGATCTCTGATATGCTAGAAATTAGAATGGAGATGGTGGGGAGAGGAGGTTGAGCAGATTTCCTTTGTTTAGGACAGGACATTGGTCCTGAATTAGGATAGCAGAAACAGAATAAAAAAATTCAAAGTTATATGGTGCATCTAACCACCATATAGTTACAGCTGATGAGAGGTTTCTACATCATCTTCCCCACAGAGAGAAATAGTGGGATGCTGACTTTTTCTATTTGGCAATATTTTAACTATGGCTGTTATTCACTGATGCTACAGTTCTTGCAAATGAGGTCCAGTAGGAAGTTGGTAGTAACCAGAGATGACCTGAGGCTATCCACAGGCATAATTAATTTGAAGATTTATTTAAATCACAGGAGATAAACAGGGAATAAGACACACAAATTGAAGATACAATATAAAAGAAATCAAAAGGAAAGCAATGAATTTCTAACACAAGAGAATGCAGTGGTGAAATGAAAAATTCAAAGCAGAAAAAACTGTATTTTAGTACAGTATTTGAAATTACAGTTATGTAAAGCCAGATAACCCTTTATAAAACATTATATTTGGCCCTAACCCTCCACAGGTTATTTAGTTTAAGCTCACTAGTTTAAACTCACTTAGCTGTTTGGCCTAAGGATTGAGAAAGAAAGACATCTAGCTATCGTGTTCTTGCTCTACTACTGCCCCTAATTTTCCTGCCTTCTGATTAACTTCTTTATCTTCACCCCTAAAATCCAGTTCTGCGTTGGTAGATAGCAAGCTACCAATCCTGCCACCCTTTGGGAATGCTGAGGACTCCACTTGTGTTTTTAAATCAAAACAACCAGTACATAGTGGGCATTTTAGGATGAAAATTGTGGTTTTCTAAAGGTCCTCCTAAGGGTAGGGCTAGCGTTTGATGGAACATGTCTTACCCTATAACATGTTTTCTGGGTAGGAGGACTTTAAACTGCAGACCAGCTAGATAAGTAACACCTTGTAGGGCACAGAAACTGTCTCTTTAAGAGCAAGTCATTGGGGGCAACTTCCTTCCTTGTGTGTGTAGGTGTGGTTTCTTTAGAGGTCCAGTGTTTTGGCAGATGTTAGATCGGTCCAAGGTGCTTTGAGGCTGTTGACCATTTGCTCTGCTTATTTATAGAGTGACTTTAAAAAACAACAACTCTAAACTTACTTTGTTTAGTAAAGATAGATTTGCTTAACACTGATGTCTATGTGTTGCTTCTTAAAAAGCAGGGAAACTGCTCAGAGATATTTTTTTTTTAAAAAAAAAGTTGTCTAAAGTGGAGATGGGGACAAACCAACAAACCACAAATTCCCCCGCAGTGATCTGACGAACCATGAATCCATTTGTCACTTTGTTGG